TAAGGCGATTTCGACGATTTCAAAGAAAGTTTCAGGCGTTCAAGCATATTATTGATGATGTCAATTTACTGTTGTGAATTTGGTAACCGATTTCGGTTTGTCTGAAAAAATGCATAAATTTACAAATAAAACTCAAAGTGGTCGTATAGATATTTTTTTAATGAAATTCATTTACAGGAGTTGTCAGTCTTTCCAGGCCATAATTGATAATTTTCCTTTCGGCAGCAGTTCGCATTAATGAATCCGATACAATAATGTCCAAATTTACACAGATTTATTTTTAATATAAATTAGATTTTGAATTCATATTCTCCTATTTTTTGCATATTTATTCCCTTTATTGCATTTCTTCCCGTTTTCGTTTCCTTTCTATATTTTATCATTTCCCGATGCTTTCTTTGTCGCAAAATATTTAGGAAGTTAAACATTCGGGACTCATGTTTTAAATTTTCTCATTCCCGTACTTTTGTGGCATATCCTTTGTTTGTTATAATTGCCAGCAATGGGTTTTCTCTATTTTATTTTATTAACAAAAAAAATATACATGTTACTTTTGACGATTTAAAACTTGCAGATAGACAATGTTCCTTATATAAAACAAATATGCTATAAAAAAAAAAACCTAAGATCCCGATATTTTTTTTATATCGATCTCATTTGGTCAACATTTGAATTTAAACTTAAACTATTCCTTTCTCATACAGTGGTTGTATTGTAATTTATACGTGTATTTTTATTTTCATTCGAATTAAACTGGAAACAAATAATTACGATATAAAATTAAAAACCAGAGCATGACATCAATTACGTTTTGCGAACGTTGGGACAAAACGGCTATACTTTTTGAAACGATCTAAAAACCTTGTTGCCTAACGAAAAAATATTAAACACTATATTGTTTAAGAAGAAAAACAGAAAAACCTTTACCGCCAAGTTTTATTTTTTATGATCTAACTATGCTTATTTGATAGACAGCTGGTTAAAACCTCAATTTTTAAAGAAAATACAGCGTTTTTTTCGTTGGGACAAGATGGCTATACTTTTTGAAGTCATTGCAATAGAAACTATACGCATGGTTTCCGGCAAAAAAATATCATGAACCAGGAGAAAAGTAAAAAAACTTTCAAATATAATAAATATTTTTTCTCTCAGCTTTTTCAATTTCACGGTATAAATGCGCAAACCCGAAATATACTTACTTTGCATACGGATGGACATTTTTCAGACCGTTTACAAAAATAACATTTTCCGGATTACGGTTTCAGTGATAATGATTTTGCTTTAACACGCGAATAATTATAACAATAGCAATATTATTGTGAAGTTTTACGATGGTCAGAGAAAAAATACCGTAGGAGAGAAACGGAACTTTGATCTTTTGCACACAAAATGAAACGTTGGACATTACGTTTTTGCGTAAAAATGGGATAATTAAGTGTTATAATTCCTGGTATTTTGAATTTCGGTTCCTTTTTTACTTTAATTTCAAGTCTAATGGAATGAATTCAATCAGAAATCACTATATTTTTATCGAACTGACCAGTCTACGTATTTATTTTTATGCTAATCTATAGCAAAATGGAATTGGTACCAACATCGTGCGCAACGTCAATATATAGTCAATATTTACGTTTGTCCCATGAAATTTTCGTTGCAATTTTCTAAAGATTTACAAATCAGAGCTTCCTGAAATATTTTGTACCAAGCTTTATGCAAGTATGCTATATATACCATGTGAATAAACTCATCATAGATACCAGGATTCATATTGTGTACACTAGACGTCTACAGAAGACTCTTCAGTGACACTCGAATAAAAAAAGTTAAAACGGCAAATAAAGTACGACGTTGGAAAGCATTGAGGACCCTTTCCTAAATGTTTTGCCAAATACAGCTAAGGTGATCTATTCCTGAGGTAGAAAATCCTTAGTATTTCGAAAAAAATTTTGGTAACAGTTAATTTATAATTATGACCATATCAATAATAACTCATGTCAACACAGAAGAGGTGACTACTGGACCGGTGATACTCTCGGGAATGAAAAACTCCACCAGCAATGGCATCGACCCAGTGGTTGTAAATAAACTCACCATAGATACCAGGATTGAAATTGTGTACGCCAGACGCGCTTTTCGTCTACAGAAGACTCACCAGTGACGCTGGAATAAAAAAAATCAAAATGAGCATATAAAGTATGAAGTTGGAAAAGCATTTAATACCCAAATTTCTAAACGTTTTGCCGAATACAGCTACGGTAGTTTATTCCTTGGGTAGAAAATCCTTAGTATTTCGAAAAATTCAAAGTTTTGGTAACAGTTAATTTATAATTATGACCATATCAATGATAATTCATGTCAACACAGAAGTGCTTACTACTGGGCTGGTGAAATACTCGGGGAGAAAAATTCTACCCGCAGTGGCATCGACCCAGTGGTTGTAAATAAACTCATCATGGATACCAAGATTGAAATTGTGTACGACAGATGCGCGTTTCGTCTACAAAAGACTCACCAGTGACGCTCGATGAATGTCTCATCAAGTGAAATGTAAAAATATCGTACCTGTTTAATTTATAAATTTTATTGTATTTATATATGTACATTTAGATTTTGATGCATTTTAAATCCCCTAGTCTTATATATTCTTACACCTTATTGCCATGTATGAAAGTTCGTACTCTTATTCTCAGGGACTTTGAATTATACCTTCCTGAAATTTGGATTCAACCTCAAGTGAGCATGCTCTCTACCTTGTGAGGTGTTCTCTTGTCCATCGCTCATTAATTTCCTGGTCTTTTTTCGAATACTTCTTCACGTACGCATGATCACGGAAAAATGCAGTGCAGATTAGAATACAAATTATAATTCATATTAGACATTTTCGAAAACTTATCGATACTGACGCTTACACTTATGCCTAGGACGACAGGTAACCTTTTTCAGAAGGTCTATCTCAAGGTGTATAATGACCACAGCTACTGTATTTAAGTTATATTTGTTTTTCTAATCTATATCTTAAATGCTGTATAAAACATTCAATGATTTGTTAGTTTATTGGCTCTGTTTAGTAGTTGAGAATTGACCTATCTTCATATTGTACTTGGTAAAAAAAGGGCTTTTTAAAAAGTGCTTAAAATATTTTATGAAATAGACGAATCTGGCATAACAATGATCTAATTAACTTTATATGTGCAAAAATAGGCAGATTGGTCATATTTTGACTTCATTAATATACGGCTTTCAATGTGATTAAATCGGAATGGTAACAGCTCATTTAGACTAAAAAATGTTATTTTCTGTTAAGATCCACTAAATGTTTACCTTGCGTAGACGAATGTAAAATCTGTTTCAATGTGTTTCTTCAAAATAATAACCTTTTCCGAACCTTTTCAAGAAATGAAAACACATGATCTGTAAAATTTCTCAAATTTCTGAAGAATACGCTATTTTAATAAAGTAGAATTTGTAAAATCTCTGTATTACGAGCATATTGGGAAACAGTAAGAACTGTCAAATCGAAAATAGCATACCGTTTGTTTCTTGGTTAAAACATGAAATCGTCCAGTGTCTAGTTTGGTGGTAAAATAAATTAATGAACACGTGTCTATAAAGATATTAAACCTGTTTCCAGATATACTGAATATACTTACAACAAAGTTAAATTATGACTTATTAAGTAAAGAGGTACGATTGAAGGGTCTTCGTTTCTGTATTCTTTAATTTTTAGGCTATTTTGTACATCGTTCTCTAGTCTGTAACCCTATACAGACCCTCAAGAACTGCTAACGTAGACGACAAATCAAGCCTGTAACGATATCACGAATGGCCTTAACGTAGACGACAAATCAAGCCTGTAAAGGTATCACCAATGGCCCTAACGTAGGCGACAAATCAAGCCTGTAAAGATATCACCAATGGCCGAAAATGTGTTCATCATAGGTGTCTCCACTGTGTCCCGAATCTTTATAGCACTTCAATTCGCCAATTGTATGTATTGTACCGTAACACGATATTTCGTTAAAAGTCTATTGCATTTGCTGTATTTTCTATACAGATCTGCAGGTTCTTAAGCTGCCGTATATATTGCATCTATATAGGATACCGACTTTGGAGAAATTTTGCCTGCTACAAAAATGTAACAAAAAAATTGATCGGGAAAAGCCAATTCCTGACCTTTTTGTCGCATTAGCATCAATAGTTGGGCGTCATTCTGGTGTCCAAAGTAAACAGATTTAATATAGCATATATCAGGATTAAAAAGAAATAGAGTGTGTATATATACAGGGATAACGACGGTGACTGGAAAAATATTGCTGTTGCGGCTCTGTTGTCGGACGATATATTTCTGTAGATGTGCCATCAAATGCGCCCACCGCGAACTGTAATTTCAACTATTTCCCCCGAAAATATCTCCATTCATTGACTGTTGGCTATGTGAGAAGTGATCCAATTTTGTGTTTTAACCGCGCTACCTTAAAACCGGTATCGTGAACGGTTGCAAACATAGAAAACGAAAGTCGAATTCGTCGATAGAGACAATTAGATAAACCAGATTGAATATCACAAGTTCATCACTAAAATATTTCCATAACTAATGAGAGCACTCAGTGTTTCTAGTTCCGATTCCGAATAAAAAAATATATAAAACCAATTACAGAATTTATGTATTTTTGACCTCTGCTGAATCCTACATAGTTTTACGAGGTCATTCATTCAGTACATTTCTACATTTTGTTACGGTTCCCCTATTTTGTAGTCAGTGTAGGTGTCAGTGTCTTTATAAGTGTCAGTGTAGGTGACTTTTAGAAAATGTCTATTTATTATATAGCCCTTTGTGAAAACATTAGAGCAGTGGCATTCATTGGAAATGACGATCACGAAGGAAAAAGAAAAAAAAACAATAAGATTATGCAGCCTACATATCGTTTCATTTAAAGGAGTAATCACTTTACGCTTTACGCGGAAAATATTCTACTGAAGTTACGCAGTAACCTTATAATGTTAGGTAGATTAAAAGAAAAATTTTCTCGAGTATAGCAGAAAACTTCCCTAGTAGTTTCCTTCATTGAGTGTTGCTTTACGGTGTTTCAAAACAACAACTTTCCGAGAAAAGTTTTCCTTATATTAATATATATAAATATGGTTAACCTACAACAAGTACACTAGACGAAGGAATAATAACATTATTGCAGTTATACCTTTATTTACAAAACATGGAACAACAGGTACGATATATTTACTTTTCACTTAGTTAGAAATTCATTAATTAAATTTTAATTTGCGTCGAAAAAAAATGAGACAAAATGTAAATTATATTAATGTTATGATAATATTGAAAATTTCAGACGTTTCTGTAAGTTCAAACAGGATTACTTTAAAATTTGATGATTTTGTATCTCATGTTTAATCACTACTCACACACATGCAACCCATGCTCTAAATTCGTGCTAACATTTGGCTGGGTGTATGTGTGCATATATTCATTCTGTTAGATGCCACTTTTATTTTCCTGAAAATAACCTGTGATTTTAACAAATCACTTATTATATATAAGCCACCGATTTTACAATAAAATTCGCAGTCCAAATATCCAAAAAAATAAAATGTAATTCCATCGAAATCAATTGTTTGAACATATAGAATCCATGTAATTTTCTCTGCTTCAAGTTCTAAAGTTAGGTCATTTTAGGGAAGGCTTATATGCACCTACAGTTTTATTTTATTGTGATTTATTTTAAATTATTTTGTGGTTTTATTGTTATTGTTTATATGTCTTTTGTTTTTGTGATTGTTTTTTTTTGTTTTTTTTTGTGGGGGTGGGGGGGGGGGGGGTGAATAATTTGACAGGTTTTAAGCATTTCATATTTTCAAGTTGTCGTACAAGTTTGCCGCTCTTCATCCCGATCTACGTACCTATCATAACCTACTAATGTGTTAATTGTCAATTTGCTCTTGTTCTTAATATGCATAAACTATTTGCCACTGGACGTTCAACGAGCATCAGTCATTGAATTATATATAATAACTTAACCAGATAGATTTATTTTCAAATACGAGTCTGTGCCGTAAAACACTTGCTTTTTATTTATAATATCATAGAAGGCCAATATAATATACTACATACATTTTTGTACAGTTTACGATACTTTCCAACCAAAAACGAAGATATCTTGTCTCGGAATAATAAGACCATAACAATTGTCATCACTTAAATAATAACACAGTACCTATTATCATTTTTACTAGGAATCTAAAGTTCTGTTTCGGAGTAGATCAATGGAGACAGAAGCAAATCTATTCAGTGTTTGTTCTACAAATGGAGAACATTTTATAAGAAAGTCAGAAATATTGAACAATGACGAGGAAAACATCAGGTAATGCGCAATGAAAATATCAATTATGCTTATTCATTTTCATGATATTCATGTAATCAATCCCCAATCGTCAATCGTCGAATGGATTATGGGTTGGTAATACATATCAGAATTTTACAAAACCTTAATGCTTTTATTAATATTTATGTAAAATTAACTTTATGTGTACAATTGTTGTTTAACACCCGTCACACCTCCATTACAAATATGGTGTTGTTAAAGTCAGGAACATGTAATTCAGTGGTTGTAGTTTGTTGCTGTGTTTCATATTTGTTTTTCGTTCATTATTTTGTACATAAATTAGACCGTTAGTTTTCTCGTTTGAATTGTTTTACATTTGTCATTTCGGGGCCTTTTATAGCTGACTATGCGGTATGGGTTTTGCTCATTGTCGAAGGCCGTACGGTGACCTATAGTTGTTAATTTCTGTGTCAATTGGTCTATTGTGGAGAGTTGTCTCATTGGCAATCATATCACATCTTCTTTTTATATTGTCCCTGCAAACAAAACCCCTACCAATATATTGCTTGTATGAAAATCACAACAGTACGTGAAATAAAAAAGAAAGTAAATTCCATTTGAGAGTTTACAAAGTTTAACTTAAAAAACGAAAATCCTGAAAAACGATTATAACTCTGTTGAATTTTCTTTTGGAGTTAAAATCAAGATGAAGAACTGGATTTTCCTTTACTCTGCTGCAGATACCCAAATTACATATGTTTTAACAATCAATGCCATATAGCTAAGTCTCTCAGATAACCAACAAAACGTCTTAACACATTACTGACATATATAATAAAGTTGTAAATAACAAAAACCGTGCTTCAGAGATCATGTGGGCGTTGTTAATCAGATCCAAATACTCAAAAATTCCAAAAGATCTGTTTAATTGATTGATTGGTTAACGTCTTGAGGCAAATTTGTCATCATGTTCATGACCATAATAAGCTAAACATTTTGCAATGCAGCAATACGCCTACGAAACCTCTAAAAGTGTTAATGCAAGGGCTTTTTTAAGCGTGACCGACTCTCCCCGAACGAGGCAGTACATCGAACGATTCCATTCTGATCGGACGTGGATGCGTATTTAAACATCTCGCATAGCCAAACGGACGCATACATATCATCCTGTTGCCCATTACCCTAGTCGCCCTAGCGGTTTATATACTATATAAGTCCTGGGCAATAGTCTATAGTTGAAAACCTATCTATTGGTTCAAAATGAATGATAAATTAGCATATGCTTTGTCTCATTTTTAACAGAAAATAATAAGTTACCATTGACCACTTAAAAATCTGTTGTCGTTTATAATTAAGAATTAAGAATTGGCTATGTAACACTACATCTACCGGATGTATATTATTTATTTTCTACTTTTTAGAGACGATGACCGAATCATTGCTTTAAATGACCAGTCTGTAAGCCATTTTGATCATGTTACTATTGTTGAAATGTTGAAAGAACTGTTAGATTTTTCTCAGGAAGGCAGATGTATAACCTTGGTAAGTAAATTTAAAATCTCTCCCTCTCGCTCTTATGTACATATTCACTAATTGGTGTAATTAATGCTTGCAAGCTTGCCATCAATGAGCTCTCGATTTTCAATAAGTCACCTTATGTGCAGAATAAGTGACTTATGGTACAATGAAATATTTTGTGATTTAATTTTTAATTTGTGAAATGTAACGTTTATTTATCATGGTTAAAAGTCATAGTGATATGGAGAAAGCAGTTTTGTAAATTTTAACTGTAGCTTAAGCATTTTGTTGTAAATGATATGATGGCAATCCGTCGACCACAAGTTCAAAGAAACAGTCTCCTTTTCGAAAAAGTTGTGGAGGGGAGAACATTCTGAAATCTTATGACACTTATGATCATGTTAGTATTGTAAAAAAAAAATGAATCCCATCCCGTAGCTAGTTTCCACTTGCAAATTTGGTAACTTTATTCAATTCTGTAATTCAAGATTTTATGATTAGGTTAGTTAAGCACATGCGATAGCTGCTCGCAAAAGTTTAGATGTTTCACTAAATAGCAAATATATAGTTGAGGGGAGATTATTTAGATTTTGATAGTTGCTAACATTTGTCTTGTTCACTCATTACAAACTACACACTTTTATGAGTTTAGATTGAATTAAAAATATCGCATAAAAATTAAAATAGTTTAATACAGTCCGTTTTAGTGTCCTTGTCCAAGCAAGAAACATCGTCATCATTCTTTGTTATATTTTGTCACTACCGGTCTGGACAGTAGCGATTTTGAGCTCGACGTATGATGTAAACATTTGTTCTATATATATATGTTTGTGTTGTAGGGCTGGTGTCTCATTGATGTATATCCAACATATCTCTTTACTCATATATAAAACTACTGATTAATACGAGCTATTCTGGACATATTTTTATATAAACATGTTGTTTATTGTGTAGGTTATAGATAGAAAAGAACAAGACGGAGATTTAAGAATGATTGAAATTAAACTATCGATATATCAACCTACAGGCAAGTATCTTTGTGCACTTTATTCACAATATTGGAAAAAATTCTAAACATTCATCCATATTCTAAAGACATAACCTAGTAGCATGGTCTTCTATTCCATAGAAAATGAACGATCTTCGAAATGCATTCGTATCTGTTACAAAATGTATTATTTCTAATTGAAAGAAAAAAAAAACATAAATATTTCCCAGTTGATATGATATTCCAGGGCTTGCTTTTCCTATCATGATTTCCTTTATAGAGGGTTTTTGCTCACAAATAATGCATCCGTGGTTCCACAATGGTAAAGTTGAAGTAATCCCTTCGAAAGATTAACGGACTTCATTATTATTTGGTTAATCGTTATGGAAAATCTGTGTCACAGATAACCATGGAGGATATGGTCCACTTTTGCCGTAATCACAATCCAGTTCTCTTTTCCTCGATTGTGACTTTACCGAATGCGACTTATCATAGTATTTTTAATGAGAAACAAGACTGTGCCATTAGTAAAAATACTGTGATAAGTCGCATTCGGTAAAGTCACAATCGAGGAAAAGAGAACTGGATTGTGGTTACGGCAAAAGTGGACCATATCCTCCGTGGTTATCAGTTATCTGTACCAAATATTTTCATTTTTGGGAGAAACGGCCCTCTATATCTCAAAAGTACTATGTTGGACCAAAATTTTGACTGACTTGATTAGGTTTCGACATGCTATGATTATAAATGGAACTTAATCTCATTTTCAAGTCGTTTTGAAAGTGCAGAATATTAACAGTGTTGGGTTTTCAATTTGATCATCAAAATTAATATCCCTGGAAAAATTTTCATGTTAAGATTAAGGTGAGATAAAAAAAAAAGAAAACTAATCACCACAATATTTCATATTATACTGAAAGCGGTTTGTTTATTTCAGATATTGACATAGATGCAGGTTCGTATTGTTGTAATTGTATCTTACTCTTAGAATTGTGTGACCTAAGTTAAAACCGATACTTAAATTTATTAAAATAAAATATTTTTCGACTGTATAGAAAATATGCAGCATGGACAAATTTTCTTAATGGTAAATTTTGTAAAGACATGTAAAAATTCCAATTAAGGTAAATAACACCACTATTAGATATTTTAAAATTAACTTCACAGTAAAGTTTCGCTACGAAGATTTATTCTCATGTTTAAAAAGGACCATTGCATATTTTGAATTGCATTTAATAATTAAATAGAGATAAAAATACCAGCATGGCCCTTGCATTTTTCAAAATTACAATTAGATTATTGCATAATTGGCCTATATATAAGAAACGGGAAACATGTAGTTGAAAAACCTTCACACAAACGTCTTTTAAGCCAATGTAAAGGAAATAAAGGAAAGAACCGATTTCGTGTCAGGTCTTCTTTAAACTGAGAACTGCTATATATCAAAGTAAATACATACCAATGTATAACTAGTACAAAGGCATGTCAAGCGATGCTTATAAAAACAAAATATATAAAAAAAACTGAGCCCAACTTCGAAAGCAAAGGACGAACTCATTATTTCGTTAGATTGATTAAATATTGTTTTATGGTTTTGTTTACGACAGTTTATTATATTCCATGCATATTTAAAACAAGAACATTCAATTTTGTAAAGTGAGTTGTCCGGAATGAATAGGCGGATTTGAATTATACTAGGGAAAAAAGCATTTGTTGCACAAGGACAAAAACTACAATCAACCTGCAATAACGGATCTCTCAAAGAGTTGTTGCAACGGTTATTTAACTTAAAGAGAACACGACAATTCCCAACACGAGGCATCAGATCTAGCAAATCTATTCCATAACAACTCCACTGATGGTCCCTTTCAACAGTTGAACCGACTATTTTTTTATGGCTGTATACAATGAGCTGATATTTTGTCTTATAAATGTATAGTATCTAGTTACAGATCGAGTTTGCGTTTTACTTGATTTCGTATGACCTTCTTATCATAGAAGCATGGTTCATGTGACAAATAAACAGCAGACGTGAAAATTATGTTTACCCGACACATCTAGATTTTAATAATGCATGGTACATATATACGTATATATAAATAACAAACGGTCAAATATTAAAATAATTACACGAAAATCTTAAGAGTTGTTATTTCTGTTCAATTTCAGGTTTCAACTTTAGTTACGTGATTAAAAAAATATTTCAAAGAGATCAACCATATGTATACAATGTCAAATACATATTTTCATATGACTGTTATATATCCGAATGCAACGACACGAAATATGTCAAATGTACAGCTGAAAACAAACTAGATATGGAATCATTACCACGTGATGTCACAGAAAGGGGTATGTACAGACCATAAATCAGAGCTAATTAATTCAACTGTCAAACTGATACTGTTTTTATTCATTTTAGTTAATTTGTATGTATTGGCATTTAGTGTGGCGTCCATTTCGCTGAACTATTATACATTAGTGTTTAGGGACCAGCTGAAGTCCATCACAATATGTGCCTGAATCTTGACATGTAGTAATAGACAGTGTTGTTTCTCATTTTGGTCCCTGTGCTTTTTCCAAATAATGAAAATTATTTTACATATAAATTTTTCATTTTTAAAGATTTTTTCAAAACCCTAACTAACGGAAATTAAAATCTATGTAATATACTAAATAGATACATATGTACATGTATGATATTAACAGTTTAACCTATACTTTGTTAGAAAGCCAGTTCAAAATTATGAGGGTCAATATTGATTATATTTCCTATTAGTGTTGTGCTTCATTAAACACTCTGAACCATAATTGTGTTGCTCGTTGTTTTCTGTCTGTGTGTACGTCTGTTCCTCGGATAAGATGTGTTTTGGTGGTTGATGTGGTCTGCTGGATAAGATGTGTTTTGGTGGTTGATGTGGTCTGCTGGATAAGATGTGTTTTGGTGGTTGATGTGGTCTGCTGGATAAGACGTGTTTTGATGGTTGATGTGGTCTGCTGGATAAGATGTGTTTTGGTGGTTGATGTGGTCTGCTGGATAAGATGTGTTTTGGTGGTTGATGTGGTCTGCTGGATAAGATGTGTTTTGGTGGTTGATGTGGTCTGCTGCATAAGATGTGCAGTGGCGGATCCAGGGGGGTGGGGGTGGGGGGGGGGGGTGGGTTCCGGGGGTTGGAACCCCCCTTTTTTTTGACGATCAATGCATTTGAATGGGGACATATAGTTGGAACCCCCCCCCTTTATCCTGGGTTAGGAACCCCCCTTTTATAAATGGCTGGATCCGCCCCTGATGTGTTTTGGTGGTTGATGTGGTCTGCTGGATGAGATGTGTTTTGGTGGTTGATGTGGTCTGCTGGATAAGATGTGTTTTGGTGGTTGATGTGGTCTGCTGGATAAGACGTGTTTTGATGGTTGATATGGTCTGCTGGATAAGATGTGTTTTGGTGGTTGATGTGGTCTGCTGGATAAGATGTGTTTTGGTGGTTGATGTGGTCTGCTGGATAAGATGTGTTTTGGTGGTTGATGTGGTCTGCTGGGTAAGATGTGTTTTGGTGGTTGATGAAGTCTGCTGGATAAGATGTGTTTTGATGGTTGATGTGGTCTGCTGGATAAGATATGTTTTGGTGGTTGGTGTGGTCTGCTGGATAAGATGTGTTTTGGTGGTTGATATGGTCTGCTGGATAAGATGTGTTTTGGTGGTTGATGTGGTCTGCTGGATAAGATGTGTTTTGATGGTTGATGTGGTCTGCTGGATAAGATATGTTTTGGTGGTTGGTGTGGTCTGCTGGATAAGATGTGTTTTGGTGTTTGATATGGTCTGCTGGATAAGATGTGTTTTGGTGGTTGATGTGGTCTGCTGGATAAGATGTGTTTTGGTGGTTGATGTGGTCTGCTGTACTTTCCAATCATTCCTTTTATCATTTACTTATAATTTGAAATTTACATGTCAATCGTTAGTACTTTAATTTAATTTTTTGTCTTACATATTTACATTAGGGCTTCAAACTCCTTTCAGACTGCGAAAACTGCCAAAATAATCTCATTTAGAGATCAGGGTGTATTTAGTTGACAATATAAAGTACATGCCATACATAGTGTAGTGTGTAATTAATAGAATATACATACCACTTTAGAAAGCATAGCATTAATATAATACATGCAAGAAGCTTTTTTGGTATCCATACAAATAATATTTGGAATGAATAACAAGGCTTATCTGTATCTGTTTTAATTACACAATGTTTTATAGGTGGTTTTACCTTCAAATGTTGCAATTATTTAGTTCTGAGTGGAACAAAAAAACATCCGAACAACACATATGTATGTATTCTACGTGTCGAGAAGGGTACTGCAGAGAAGGGACTATATATCACAGTCAAAAATGAAGAAGATGTATACGCGGAGGTAATTACAACTTAATAGTAAAATTGGCCTTTTAGTTTTTCTTTTTCAAACACTGCATTTTGCTTTTTTTTTATTTGATGTCAGAATTGACCGACAGACAGTCGTCTGTAAAATATTATATGCAGATATTTCAAAGGCGACTTGACTATCCTTCGATTTACGCACTGGTATCTTTTTTAACCCATGCATATCAAAAGAAACACAATATTTAGTTAGTTGGATGAATGTAAGATATGTTAGTGTAGCTATAAAATTTTAATTTTTAGTAAGTAAATTATAGAAAAAACGTCGAACTCCTGGAGTAAACCTTTTTGTTTGAACGGAATAATTCGCAGTGCTGCTTTTATTTTCTTCTTGGTAATACTATGACAAAAAAAACTTTCATAAGGACTTAATGATTTCAAAAAAGCAGGTTATAAGTACACTGAGTTTGCTTTTAGTAACTGTGAGTATTCTATGCTTTATTCTTGTTTTGGTTGAGTTTTGATTTGTTAACTATCAAACCATTATTAAAGATTTACACAAGTTTCATGTACTAATCGTTATTGTGTGCGTTTTTTTAATCATTTGTTATAAAAATAAGCAGATGTTGTATGATTTCCAATGAAACACCTGTCCACTAAAGTTCAAATGAAGTGGATGTAAGCAATTATAGGTAACCATACGGCCTTCAACAATGAGAAAAAAAAACCCATACCGTATAGTCGGCTATAAAAGGTCCCGACATGAAAAATATGAAACAATTCAATTGAGAATACTAAAGGTCTAATTTATAACAAAACAATTTACGAAAAATAAATACGACAGGCACCAACCCTCCCCCTAACCTGGGACAGTGGTGTAACAGTACAACATAAGAACAAACTATGAAAATCAGTTGAAAAGGGCGGACGTAGCATGGTATTTGTACATCCCTCACGAAAAAGACACAAAGTACAGATTTGAGAGTACTCGCAGTTACTGACAGCTAGTTCAAAGTCAATAACAACTAACAAAAAAATCATGTATCTAAGACTTAGACTAAAATATCGATCAGTACACATCCAACATCTTAAGGATTTTGTGTAAGTACGTCATTAACAGTCAAGAGAAAAACATGACCTTGTGCAATGTCAAAATATAGGTATCAACTTATAGTCCACTGATTGAGATTAAAAAGATGTTTGGTTGATTTCTCAAAAACTAGCTTAACCCTCTACATGTTCAAGTACATATACTAAGACATGAACCTCGCCAGTGGTTGTCTCTAGTCATATCTTTAATTTTTTTGTAATTTGGTGTTAGTGGTAGATATTTGATAGTTTTATTAACAAATTTTTATTGTCTCGGGCGATTTACAGCATAACATATCGCCTGGACAAATATCTTTTACTGAAGACTATGTTGATCTGTACAGTAGATGTTATAATTATGGCTAGTTATATCATTAGGGTGCTGACAAGTTGGATACATGTACCCACATCTTCTTTTATTCATAATTTTGCATAAATAAACGTTTTTTATTGGGAAATTAAAATATGCTCGTTACAAGTATCGTTCATAGAGACATAATTTAGACGTTGTTCAAAACAGGAGAATCTTCAAATGTTTTTTGGCAATTTCTTAGTTTTTTACAAAATGTACAGGAAGATATTTCCAAATATTGCTGACAGACAAACAGTTAATTGTATAAAACTGTAAACAATAAAATTAAATTAAGAAAATAAGTACAAATGCGTCTGATTTAACTTTTTAGTAATTCAACAGATTCAAAGATATGAAGAAAAAAACATATTATAGTGTGTAAGCAGATTTTTAATACTTTTACCGTGATATTCTACCTTGTTCCGTGATTCTAAAATAACATTGAGGCCAATTTCACAAACAATATCTGTTCATAAAAATAAGCTGCATCACATGAATTTTAGGAATTTCCGCATCCTGACAGAGATGTCGACCTAGAGAAAGCAGATTCGAGATTTTTTATACTTAAAAAAACTCCTAATGGGAAAGATATGTTTGAATCGTTGGCTTATGAAGGTATTGTTTGATTCTCCTTCTTATTATATATTTTGCTTAACGGTCATCTTTGCCACTTGAAACAAATTATTTGGAGTAACAATGACGAACTTTGCATTTAACTTATATTATCTGTTTTCTTATTAACCAATAAGAATTTCACAAACATATATTCATTATATGAAATTATCTATTTCTCATTATATCTAGAAGCTGAGCAAAAAATTTGTGTCATCGCTGCTTATGGCATGTGCATTTGCTGTACAAAACTGCATTATCTTATAAGTTGGACACTCTTTGGGTAATTGAATAGGATGGCAGTGTTACAAACAATACCAACATTGTAGCTTTGTGTTGTGTCTATCAAATATTAATAATCAATTAGGGATTTTGATCACCTTCGTTGTAAACGTTGTTTATGTGCATCATTTCATCAAAGTATCGTCTTATTAGCAATTTATTAGTGTGAAGAACATTTTTATTTCATGGATATTTGTAAATTGTTAAAAATTCATAAAAAGATATTACTAGCACTCTTCAGTGGTCACTGTTCAAAAGGTTTTCAATTTATATTTCAATGAGAGAATAAAATACTTGGACAAATGAATTTACTTCCTTACTTATCACCAATAATTGTAAGGAATATATGATAGTCATCGTTATTTAATTCTTCAATGTTTAAAAAAATGTGTATATTTGTACATCAAATTGTATTTTTTAGGTAGATATTTGTCATGGACAAGAACACGCGTAAGCCTAAGACAACTTCCTAGTGAGAAACCTCAGCAATACAGTGGAGATCTAAACAATGACTGCAAATTTGAAATAACGTCTCATAGTTTTATTGGAAACTGACTTTGGGGACAAATGTTTCACATTGTGCTGTGCAAGTCCATTCTTTAAAATCAAGCTTTCTAAGTATAAGTTAATTCAACATTTGTTACCTTACTTTATCAAACAAAATATGTGGTTATAATCTATATCACATGTGACGTGTTTATATATTTTGTAAAAATTATTCCTTATAAAACAAGAAAAAATGAAAAACAAACAAAGTAGAGCAAAAATGGAGGAACATTAGTGAAACATTTTAAAAGAATAAACTTATAACTTGGATTTGGTACGTCATATAGCTACGCGTTGTTATTAGTCATTTCCTTTAGTGAATGAAGCATCTTTTATAAATATATATAAAAAGATATAAAGAACTTTATACTCTAGAAATATCAGATCGTCTTTTTTTTTTAACTTTGTGTTCCTTGAAGAATGTATTTCCTCGTTATATATGTATATATTGTGTTAGTCATTAATAATGTAATTCAAATGAAAAATAAACTCATCAAAGTTACCAGGTTATAATTGTGTACGCCAGACATGCGTTTCGGCTACAAATGATTCAACAGGAACGCTCTGATAAAAGAGTCAAAAGGAGAAATAAAAAAATCCGAAATGTTTTGCCAAATATAATTTATATTCATTTTCAATAATTGCAGTATTATGAAATATCTTGGCATCAAATGTTAAATAAAACAATAATGCTTAAAACATGAATTAAATAGCGGATATGGGTTAAAGCTATGAGGTTATTGTCCAACTGACACCATGCATCGATCGTATTATCACATTTAAATGTCTAAGTAATCTCGAGATCTTGGTAAAAACTTCATTTTCTATATATCATCTTTCAAAGTTCACAAAAAATGAACATTTGTGATAAATTTCAAGCTAATGTTACCACGACTTCATAATAAATCACCTTTAACAACAACAAACTATAACCATGATATGGAAAGAACGGAGTAACGAACGGACGCACACACCGGACAACATAAAGCCCATACAATCGTAGGTGGGGCATACAAATTAATCGACAAACATGCTATATAAATCTTATGGCACCAGAATTTGTTTTTCAACAGTCTTTACCTCCATGAAAATAGTGTACAGTTCCCGTAGAATAAAACCCCAAAAATAGTGTTACATGCGTGTAAATCACGTTTTATAATTAGAATAACAATAAATTTCATACCTCCGAAGAGATTTTCTGAATTTACCTTTATCAGGAACACTCAAACACAAAATTAAAAGCCCCGGATGTGTAAGAATTAGATACACGAGGATCTATAAGATCAAATAATAAACTGCTTGATAAGACAATACGGTATTGATATATCACTTGGAAACCCAACATTACCTAAAACAACACTTCCTAAGTGGAAATCCTGAGCAATTCTTTGTTTTTCAATTATAATCAAATACGTATACGTGTATCAGAGTTAATTCTAATCAATTAGATACTGTAGCATCGTAAAACAGATGTGGATACAAAATATCCAATTAATTGTTATATTGAAAAAAATCAAAGTCCCTCTCATTGTGCAATAGTATAAGAACATTCATCTTATCTTCCTTTTACATTTAGCTAGCTATAAAACCAGGTTTTATCCATCATCTTCTTCATAAGCAAATGAAATGCCTGTACCAAGTCAGGAATATGACAGTTGTTTTCCATTCGTTTGATTTGTCTGAGCTTTTGATTTTGCCATTTTATAGGACTTTCCGTTTTGAATTTTCCTTGGAGTTCGGTTTTTTGTTATTTTACTTTTTACATGTAAATTGTATATTAAAACTTGGAGAAAATCCTACTTTTTTCATAAAAAAAAAAACAATTATAAACGTAGGTAGACAACTTTTGGAAGGAATAACATTATAATTTCTACAAAACCAATCTGATCAAAAGAACTTTTCTGAAACTGAAATTATCGAGACGCTAGTTATTTTTATTGACAACCTCTTTGGAAGATGTTTTTAAAGAGAATGTCGGCATTCCATTTGGGAACAACTGTGCCCCTCTTCTGCCAATGCATTTAAAAATTGTTTTTGATGGCACGTTTGGAAATATTCCAGACAATACGTTTTTTATTTGCATTATGTCCCTTTAAATTGGTGCGTGCAAGATTATTTAATTGATAAAATTATGTTAACTCTGTAAAACTAATGGTCATCATTCCGATGCATATGTGTTCTTAACCGGTTTTGGTGTACTTTTGATGATTTATTTCATGATACGATAAATAAACGAAGTTATGGAATAAACGTTAATGAGAAAATAATACTTTAACACAGGTTAATAATAAATTGTTATTTAAGTGCAGTTTTAAAGCGTTATACAATAAACAAGCTATAAGTCCAGCTCAACCTTCCAAAATCTATACCAGTTGAAAATTTCAAAATAATCGGAAATGTTCGAATTTAAGGTTTTATAAAATAATAGACAAATGATAAGAAATAAGGTTTCAACTATCTCAGATAAAGTTGACGGTTGCATTTAGCTGTTCTTTATAGTTCCCTGTTGGTCGAATAACTCCTAACGTATCTACGTATTTATACATCCATGACTTTCAAATATATGGGTTTGAGCGTTGTTCATGGAAACAACTACTTTTTTTAAATAAGCCAACTGACGTAAGGGCTGTAGATTTAAAAACGACATAGGAGTAAAAGAATGAATATAAGTAGAAGGTTTGAATAAAACACAACAATAAAGCAGAGTCTTTTACCCAAATAGGCTATTTATGTCATGATTCCCAAGATATTTAGACAGATCAACCTCTGTAAGCTGATATCCTCCCCCAAGACTATGCATAATTTGATTGACATCATCTTGGTGAAACTGAATGGAAGTGCCAGAGCCCGCTCCACCATATGTAAATGCAAAAAGAAATACAAGTTCATTTTCGATGACAAAGAAACATGGATTGCCGCTATCTCCGCTTATCTTTGGCTCGTAATACTGGAAGCGTGTTGTATTCCGGTACGGAACTATTAAGCGAGCCATGTTATGTGTCTGAGTTGAAAAGTCGTCAACCAGTGCCTTTTCTTCAAAATCCGTACAAAGTGTTGGGAGCCTTACATACATACGCGTTGGGTGGAATTCTTTAAAATATTTCGGAAGTACTTTTGCAAAACTTATGGTTGAAGGAACGTCACTATCTAAAAGACCAATAACCATATCGAAACCAGAAAGATATGCCCGGTGGCTCGTGGAATTAGATTTGACTGGTATAGCTCTAGTCTTGATTATTTTTCGATCGAATACATTATTGTTTTGATCAACGAATCGGAGAGTTGAATTTACTTTTATACTGTAATGCCTAGCCCACACAGCATGACGGGGTGACAGAAGTGTGCCGGCTTTCCTTGTTTTACCGTAGCTATTCCATGGAGATATACATGACAAATCTAGTCCGTATGCCCAGCAGTTAGTATTTCTAGTGTATACTTTATGAGTATGATCCTGTTTTGAGAATATTTTGATAGCTTCTTGCGGAGTATGCCCTGCAATCTCTACAGCCTTTAGACGATCATCTATACCATGAATTATATTTGAGAATAGATTTACTGATCCAGATGTGATGTTAGGGTTATACCAATGACCATGATCCTGATACTGACAACGACTGCCGTGACTTAAAAGCTCAATCGTTTCATTATGAAAATACGTCTGGAGACAAAATTCCTTATGAAAATTGCAACTGAAAAAAATGAAGATATCAATTACGATAACATATCAGTTAAATAACATGTATATGGTTATATAGGACACCGGCTTCTTTTTTTTTCTCAATACAGTGGCGACATGTGACGATAAAGCCCAGGCTACTATTAATTAATAATTTTTATGATGTAGGCGTATAAATTCATTAATCACAGTAATTTGTTCTCGTAAATTAAACGTACGCATGAAAAGTCACGGGTATATCAGGTCACTTGTGCAGCTCTTGATTTGTTGAAATGATTGAAAGTACGAGTCAATAGAAGTAAACATTTGTCTGATAAAAAGAATTCCACAGAACCATCTGTTCAAGAATTATCTGTTACTTTCTGTCTGCAAAAGAGAGGCAAATGATACCAAAGGGACATTCAAATTCATAAGTCTAAAATAAAATGACAATGCCATGGATAAGAAAGAAAACGACCAACAGACAAACAACAGTACGCAAAACATAACATAGAAAACTTAAGACTTAGCAAAATGAACCCCACCTGCTCCACGTATGGCACCCGTCGTATTGATTATGTAAGTACAAACCCGATGATAAGTCTTAATTCGGTAGGTCACATTCGGGGGAAAGGGGACGGGATTGCAGTTACGACAATTGGAACATATCCGTCGTCATCTGCGAAACAGATATTACATAACGGTCAACACAATCGTAAAAGGGTCTTCTACCAGTACTAATATATGTGTGGTACATGTAGTTGTTTGCAGTTGCATTGTCAGTTGTACTTTAACTTCTCTGACAATAACTAGTAGACACTAACTAAAATTGCTTACTGATAATACTATAAGAAAAATATGTTATGAAATCTTAATACGTTTGAAAGTTAACTATTGGAAGTGGACTATAACTGTTCTATTGATTTTAAGCTGGCAACTAAAATTCAGTTATGTAGTAGAACATTTATTTTGATAGAACCGATATTGACAAAAAGAAGATAAAAGATGTCACCTTCCATTGATAATCCTGCCATCAGTCAAACAATATTTGGTTAGGTCGGTAACTGCATGTCTACATCCAGTATCTATCGCATCTATACAATCTTGGTATGAAGAACTGACTAAAATCCATGATACTGAAAAATTAGAGTTCATATGAATAATAGTCGAAATAAAATGGGAGATATACTTTTTTGGAAAAAATGCATCCTTTTGCGCCAAAACGCATATGCAGCAATGTTACATTTGCGCCACTAGTTTTCAAATTGACTAGTTTCTTTTGCGTCAAAAATAGAATATACAATTGCGCCAATTTATTGTATTAAAAAATAACGACTTCCATTCTGCTTTTTATCCAGTGTTTAACCAATAGTTTACATTGAAAGAGTTAAAAGTCATTTTATGTGGTTTTATCAACCTTTTTTAAAGTATGTTAAATGAAAAGATAAATTTATTTGCAGTCAGGCAACATAATTATTCTTAAGGCTGAAATTTGTAATTTAAGACACAAACATGATCACTACGACTGAGTTCTCCTCTTGTATAATTCTTTTTCAACGGCAAATGTTTCATTTTTCTCTTCACGACAAATATGTTGTTGTTCCAGCAGACAAAGCCTCAAACAATATTGTATTATATGCAAAAACCATTATTTCGAATGCCTCCCTAATGAACTTGGAATTCAAAGCAAAACTGGGAATCCCATATATATAACTTTATATTGTTCACGATAGAAGATTTTAGAAAATCAAAAATCCATCCATCTCTTCTTTGGTATTCACATAAAAAGGGACGACGAAAATTTTTTATCTTTATACTGGATACCTTAGCTTCACAAAAATCCTTATAAAGAACGATATTTAGCCAGGTCATCAAGATGTTCGACTACACGTCTTTCTTAAGTTCTTCCCTCCATTCTTTCTACCGTAAAAGATGGCCTTCAGACACATTGTTATGAGGTACATGCATATTCAAACAGCGGTGGCAATCAGATGTGGAATCTTAAAAATTCTAAAGATCTGCTCCAAAATCTTCGTTGATGAAGTTTCAGTCAACTAATTATTGTCATAGACATATAAAATTGAGAATTGAAACGGGGAATGCGTCAAAGAGACAACAATCTGACACAGCGAGAAAATTCCGCACCCGGAGGCGGGTTTCAGCTGGCCCTTTGAAAAATAATATTTGTCGCACATGATACACAATAGCAATTGGCACCAAAGGACTGCAACCAATGAAACAACAATGGTATCGCATCACCAGTCTTAAGATTTGTGCAATAATACTGACAAAAGATATTATATCTATATAAACGAATAAGATGAAACAATAGCGTAATGGAAAGAAATATTTCGGCACACTAAATGGCCTTCATTTGCATCGGTCTTTTTTCAAAAATGAATTAAAAAATCTGAAAGTTCAGTGTATTCCCTTGTGTGATAAAACAGTTTTCAAATCCATTTAAGGCAATTTTTCTATCAACATTTCTATTTGGTGTAAAGGCAACAACCAGGCAACCTGCCAGTTGCGTTAATCAACATCAATTCGTAAAGTGAACATGTTTGTGCCATGTATCTTAATTTGTTAACAACCAGTCCATCATATATAGTCTACCGGGGGCTTCATTGAAATAATCTGGTGTATTTGCTGTTATCTTTAAAAGAAAATAGTCACGCTTGTGTCTTGGTTCGTGACACATTTACACTGCACGATAACAAGTTGCAGATTCAGTAATTATGTATTACAACTTTAAATATCATACATTTTTGGAGTCAGTTCGACTCAATTACAGTCCACGCTAAACATACTATCATCAAACACCTTTATAAAATGCATCTGTTAAGAATATGTCGATTGACAACAACCCAACAAAACACAAAAATGCATATGTTAGTGAATAACTTTTCGGTACTTCAAATATACTGCAATCTTGTGTTGAGAAACAATAAGCCCACACCATATTTATTAAAAAAGTTCTTGTAAAAAGTGTAGTCTGGATGTTATTCATAAAATGCCAAAACGCTCCAAAGAAATTAAGCCATTCTTCAAATAAGAAATGGAGAAATGATTTCTGCAGGCTAGTGATAATATTTTGTTTTTAATCTTGCAATACTTACATTTTGAGACCAATAAGAAAAACAACAATCGTATCATATTTGTAACTAACTCAGTACTAGTTCATGTATGTATCGAATGTAAGTGTATTATCTATAGGTTCAATCAGTTTTAAGTAATCTTTACCTATAAATGTACTGATGTTTATCATGTGTGCTCAGTTTTAAAGCTTTTCCATGTTTGTGTACTATTGAACATAGCAAATTTCGTGTATTTCAGGAGATACTAATGCCTGCAGAACGATTAGTTTGATATAGTTAACTTTTTATTATTTTTGAAATTATGAGATGCTTCTTTGAATGTCGTTTTATATACAGATTCATGTAAGAATGGTCTTAACTGGTTATCAGGTATACCTAGATTTTGGGTCTTGAGATAACAACTTCTGATAGTTATAATGATCACAATTTTTTTTATTGTGAATAAAAAGGGATGTGGGATATACGTCAATGAGACAGACAAAAATAATCATAAAACACAAAGAGAGTAAAATACAATGTTCAGCAATAGGCAGGTGTCTAAACAATAACTCAAGCTCTAAACTGGTGAGGTAGCACAGAAGCTATGAATATAAAAATAAGGAGATGTGGTATAGTTGCCAATGAGACAACTATCCACCAAAGTTCAAATGAAGTTGATGTAAGCAATTATAGGCAACCATACGGCCTTCAACAATGAGAAAACCCATCCTTATAGTCGGCTATAAAAGGCCCCGACATGAAAAATATGAAACATTTCAATTGAGAAAACTAACGGCCTTATTTATAACATAACAATTTACGAAAAACAAATATGACAGACATGAACCAACGACAACCACTGAACTTCAAGCTCCTGGCTTGGGACAGGCACATAAAGAATGTGACGAGGTTAAACATGTTTGTGAGCGCTCAATCCTCACCTAACCTTGGACAGTGGTGTTACAGCCCAACCTCGCTGTCTAGTAACAATCAAGAGGAGAAACAGCAGTAAATGTCTTAATCCTTTAAAAATAACTTAATATATCCTTGTAAATCATGAAATTGTCATTATCAAATCATCTTATATCAATCCTTATTCAAATAAAATCAGAAGAACGCTGTGGTCCTTACCATATTACGTGATTAAGACATTTTCAAATGGTATGGACTTCATATCCTGCGATATTTAGCTTGTAAACCTTGTACTTGAGTGTCTATATATGTAATTAGAAGTGATTATAACGATTAACCCAAAATAGAAATAAAGGCAATATGAATCAACATACATTTAATAAAGAACAGATAAGAAAATCAGACGAAGTGCTTACCAAAAACGAAGTCTGTTAGTTCACGTCAAAAATTCCCGGTTCAAGATTCGTGGTACCAATCATCATATTTTATGCATTTAATCCAGTCCTCATCATCAGAATCATCATCATATTAATTGCCATTACAGTATGAGTACATATACACACGAGAGTCACTTTGAGAGTCAGCTTACTTATTTTTCCGATTGCGCAATGCTCTTAACTTTTGCATTTTTCTCTGTTCTTAAATTTTGATTTTCTTTCTCATTTGGTTTTGCAACTGATCCATTTCTTCCTGTTTTTCTTTTCCTCTCTTTCCCTTTTCCTTTTTTCTTTTTCTTCATATTGATGATTTTTCTCTTCATTTATAAATTCAATTTCTGTTAGACATCTCGCACCGGATACTATTCTAGTTTTTCTTTGACTCATGTTTGTTCATTTTACAACCTTTGGAGTTTATGAATACCATGCTGACCCTAAATTTTCCCCGCTGTCAACGCATCACATATGTCCTATTTTTTTTATTGGTTCACGGTTTTAAGAGAGACAATTTAACTCCTGCAACATGACTTTACTTGAAATATTAAACGTACGTGTCCACTTACCCAATATGTCCCCTTGCCCCAAATGCCTCTAATTGTCGAAATGCACATCTGGTGCAGCAAAATCAGTACCTTTAATGTTATTAATACCACTGGGAAGATACCTCTGTTGGTGAACGGGTATTATAGTCCTCGAGAGTATCACCATCCAAGAACTTCGGTACTGGCATTATAATACGGATATGATTTTGCTGTTATAAAATCTGGAAATCGTTTTAAATCAAGGATTGTATCTCCCTCATGCAAAGCTCTAATTCCTCGTCCGGGTTTGGCTTAATTTTGATCCTTTTGGGTTTTATTAGCTATCAAATGCGGTTTGTATTAGGTTTTGGACTCAAATATTTTGGCCTCGAGCATCACTGAAGACAAACTAATTGTAGAAATGAGCATCTGGTGCAGTAAAATTGATACCTTTAATGTTATATATATACGATTTTTTTAGTGGGCTCAGTAGTAACATAGAAAACTATAATGCATTCACATTATTAGACGTATCAAATCCTTGTTGATTCATATTTTCGTCCAGTGCGGTTTATATAGGTAAATGACGTAAACTATGACGTCATCATCTTTGAATGACACGATTTAAGGTGGAACATGGTGGGTAGAAAGTCAAATATCTCTGATCATCTCTTCTAAAGTCGTACAAACATTATATCTCCTCTTTTAAATACATGACTCCTGATTATGAAAGAAACATTGGTCACTGGCAAGCATCAACCATCGATAAATCAATCTATAGCATGGATTTCCCATAAATTATTTTTATTACTAAGCTATATTACTTTGGGTTT